GAGGGCGACGGACTGGGGTCTTCGGTCGGGTAGACGGGGTCTTGGGACGGGTAGTCACTGGGCGCGTCCGAAGGCTCGTCACTGGGCTCGTCACTAGGCTCGTCACTGGGCTCATCACTGGGCTCGTCACTGGGCTCATCACTGGGGTAGTCGGAGGGTCCCTCACTCGGTTCGTCGGAAGGTTCTTCAGTAGGCTCATCACTCGGCTCATCGCTGGGTTCGTCAGAAGGCTCGTCACTGGGTTCGTCACTGGGTTCGTCGCTGGGCTCATCTGAAGGCTCGTCAGAAGGCTCGTCACTGGGTCCGTCACTCGGGTCATCGCTGGGCTCGTCAGAAGGCTCATCGGAAGGCTCATCGGAAGGCTCGTCCGAGGGCTCATCGTCACTTGGCTCGTCGGACCCCGAGTCGTCGTCATCGTCGTCACCGTCGCAGTCCTCCGTACGAGTCGGCTTCATGCGTGGCGGCGTCGTTTCGCACGAAGGGCGGCACGTCGTCTTGCCGCTCACAAGATCGTCGGGGCCGACGCAGCACACCCAGTTCTTGGTCGCGCACGAATCGTGTTGGCGGTGGCACACATGCCACGCGGGCTGCGCCGCCGCGTTGGCGCCGGCCGCGAGCACAGCAGTGAGGCACACGAAGCGTTGCATGGAAGCGTGGAAAAATGAAAATGACATTGCACCACAAGTCGTGCTCGTCAAAGGATCGCCATGGCGTGACCAATGCTACAGCTTGCACCACCTGGAACCCGAACGCTGTCGACGAGCGATCGAAGCTTCTTGACGTCCACACGGTCCGCTACTTTGCACGCGTATGTATCGGAAGGGGCGTTACTAAGGTCGACGGGAACCTAGTACACATCTATAACCCGTCGAACGGATCAGCGATACACATGTACTAGATGCTCAAGGATTCCCTCTGTCGCCCAGGCTTGCTTGCTCGCACACCACAGTGTTGCACGTAACTCCAAGCTCTTCCCGAGCGATGTATGTACCGACTGCAAGCGCGAGCAGTGTACATCCACTCTACCTCGATCACCGAGGAGCGGTTGGACTCCAAGATCGCTGCAGGATTCTCTCTACCACTCAGCACTGTAGCTCCTCCTCTCAGTGTCTAGATGCTGACAGTGACGACCGCACGCAGTGAAATGATTCTGGGATACACGGCAGAAGCTTCAGCAAGCAGCGCGAGAAGCTGCTGGCGTCCCGGTCCATTACCGCACCACGTGCACGATCATGAACACCGACGACCAGAAAACACATGTCTGAGCCTGCAACACGAAACGTTCTACCCTAGCCCTTTTGCGTAATTGACAAGAAGATCGCAGTTCAAGGGTTGACCAGTTGCACTTTATGACCAAACAAACGTGTAGGAGTACGCAAGAAGCCAACTCCTGAGCCCCGACCAAGCGCCCTCAGCTTGGGCCAAACCTCACGAGCGCATTAGGAAGTCCACCATCTTCACTACTAGTATATAATTGCATGTTAAGAACTCATTTCAACAACACAAGAAGCCAACTGCTAGCGATGCTAGAACTCTCAGAGACGTCTTTCAGTGGACAACACGGTCGGTGTTGTTTTATATTCATTTACATGTGACGACGACGATGGTATATAACACAAAGGATTACTCGATGGTTTACGACCGGGCGACGTTGCAGACGCCACTGCAGGTCGCGCCCGTGATGATGCCACCCTGCGTCGAGCCCGTCAGCACGGCGTAGGCCTCGGGGACAAGCTCGACGTAGGCGTCGGTCGTCAAGCCGACGCCCGATGCTTGGAACGAAATGACGCACGTGACGCTCTTGCCCTGCCACGTCACGGTCATCGACTGGTCGCACGACGGCGTGTAGATGTTGGCCCCCGGCGGCTTGGGCGAGCCACAGAAGAGCGTGCCAGCCGGGAAGCGCGACTGGATGCCAGGGCAGTCGACACCAACGTGGTCGGGCACGGCCAAGTTGACCAGGATCGGCGACCCGTTGCCCGGCTGGCTCGATGGCGACGGCGTCGGCTTGGGAGCGTCCGTCGGCGCATCGGTTGGGGTATCCGTGGGGCCGTCGGTCGGATCGTTCGAAGGCTCATCACTCGGCTCATCGCTGGGTTCATCACTCGGCTCGTCACTCGGCTCGTCACTCGGCTCGTCACTCGGCTCATCGCTCGGTTCATCACTCGGCTCGTCACTCGGCTCGTCACTCGGCTCATCGCTCGGCTCGTCACTCGGCTCGTCACTCGGCTCATCGCTAGGTTCATCACTCGGCTCGTCACTCGGCTCGTCACTCGGCTCGTCACTCGGCTCATCGCTCGGCTCATCCGACGGGTGTGAGCCGGAGCCCGAGTCCCACCC